AGCGGCTGTTTTTACCTCCAGCGAAACACAGAGAGAGAGAGAGAGATGTGGAAGTGAAGATGGCAGCGGAGCAGTTTTGGCAGTGCTAGCAGATCTTAGTGCTAAACGTGACGCTGTGTAATGTGTGAGCTTACGTGTGTCGCCAAATCAACGTCCGCCGAGAAACACGTGTCCAGGCTATAAACACACACACACTCTCTCTCTCTCACACAACACACACACACACACTCGTACAGGATCTGAGTTTTTACACCAGAACTTGAGAATAGCGGAAATTAGTTATTTTGCCTCTTTGCTTGTTTTTATGTTTGTGGTTCATGCCCAACATTATTTCAATCAGGTTTATATATATCTGTCTCTTATTACGGTCTGTTATAATCATATTTTTGGGATTATACCACTGTTTCTTTAACTGAAATAGTAGAGTGTCACCCATCGAATGCATGAACTGACAAAAAAAAAATGTTGAATGAACCTTGAATGAAATGTCACTTTAGGTAAAAGTATCTGTCGAATATGTAAACGTAAAGATAGAACCTTTCTTTAAAAGACAAAGAAAACTAAATCTAGGGTGGTAAATTACTAATATAAAATTAACATTAATAGAAAATACTTTAGTAAATAGTGACAATTTTTGTTTATCCATCCATCCATCCATCCATCCACCCATCCACAATATATTTTTTTAAATAATTTTTTGTTAAACATTTAATTTATTTTTTCACATGCATTTGGCAAATGCTTGCTATAGTGCCATATTGTAGTGTGTAAATCACATTAATGCATATTTTTCTTTATAATAAATTTGTATAAAATAAATTGCGTGAATGTATTGCCAATGTAAATATTATTTTGGTCTGTATACATTATATTACATGAAGAGATTATACATATATAAACATACTGTGTATCACTCTCACTCATATATTTTCATCACTCTCACTTGTTTTCTAGGTTTTTTCCCAGGCGCTGTGGAAAGCATTGACCTGCGGTGCGACACACAGACATATTACATCTTTAAAGCTTATTGATTTTATAGGTTGTGATTTCCTTCCCTGCGGCCCGATGGCGAGATCTGAACCGCCGCGTGTGTTTTTACGCCTGTCGGGGGCCGTTAGTCTTCTCCGATAACAACAGTCACTACTTTCTGCATTTTTTCAAAGTCATCTTTTATTCATGACTGATGAGAATCCAAGAAACGCAAGATAACAGAGAAAGAGACAGAAGATTGAGCCGCTCATAGGTTAGTAATGATGCTTAATTAATGCTGATAAAACTAATAATCCTCACAATAATGTTTTGTGTGTACAACCTATTAATGAGAGCAAAAAATGACAGCTTTTAATTCAGATGTCACTTTTTACAGCAGGAAGCAGAAGCTGGCGTGTTTCTTCTGTCAACATGGCTATAAATACAGGCTGAGAGCTTGACCTTTGACCTGCAGGTGTGTTCCCACCCGACCCCAACACTGCATCACACCTGCCACTCATTTACAAACCGTCCTTCTTTACTGAACAATTCTCTCTTTCTGCTTTCATCTGTTTACTTCAAATACCCCTGAGAGTTTAAGGAAATCTTTTAATAGTTTAACAAGTTCACGGTTCTCCAATGTTGATTAATAGTCATGTGATGTGCAGGTAAACTAGTAGAATAGTTCATATTTTTAAGTGTTTTATTTTGATTTGTTTTCAAATTAAAATTATTTGTTTTCATTTTTACATTTTTGTGATTTAATTAATTATTAGCTATTTGTTAATCTTTTAGTATTTCATGTTTATTTGTTTTATTTTTGTATTTTGTATTTTTATAATTTGATTAACTTTTCATTTACTTTAATTTTTTATTTGTTTTTATTTAAAAATTATCTCTTGATTTTCCGTTTTATAATAATTATCTTTTCATCAACTTTTTTAGTAACATTTATTTTTATTTTTATTTTAATATTTATGTTCACATTTTATGATTTACATAAGTTACATGCAATTTTTTGTGTTTTATTTTGATTGTTTTTAATATTTGTTTTTAATTTTACATTAAAAAATGTGTAGATTTTTAACATTTTTAGTGTTTTATTTTGGTTATTTTTT